CCAGAGAAGCTGTGGCTGCCCTGGATCCCTGGAAGTGTCCAAGGCCAGGCTGAAGCAACTTGGGCCAGTGGGAGGCGTCCCTGCCCATGGTAGGGGGTGGGACTGGATGGGCTTTAAGGTTCCTTCCCACCCAAACTCTCCTGGGACTCCACGATTCCATAATTCTATGGTATGATCCCACTGAGAGAAGGGAAAGGGATGGATTCTGGAGGTAGAAGCACCTCTGGCCTCTCCCATGTGCACCATGCAGTGATTGCACAGCCCTGGATCACATCCCATACTCTGATGGGATTGCTTCCCTCTGCCAAGAGCTGCCCCAGCCAGCAACAGGGCTGGGGATACTGCTGGGAACACCTCACTGCTGCTTATGGAATCATGGAATATCCTGGGCTGGAATATTGGATCATTGATCCAACTCCTGGCCCTGCCCAGGACACCCCAACAATCTCACCCTGGCCCTGAGAGTGTTGTCCAAACCCTCCTGGAGCTCTGGCAGCCTTGGGGCTGTGCCCACTGCCCTGGGGAGCCTGGTCAGTGCCCACCACCCTCTGGGGGAAGGACCTTTCCCTGAGATCCAACCTGAGCCTGCCCTGGTACAGCTCCAGCCCTTCCCTGGGCCCTGTCCTGGTCACCAGGGAGAACATTTCCCAGCTCAGCCCATCCTGCCTGGAGAGGAGGGAGGCAGGGCTGGGAGTCACACTGGGAGGCAGGGGGAGGCAGGAGAGCTGGCACAGGGTGGAGGGTCAGGGGCTCAGGGACCCCTCACCTGTACTTGAGGGGGAACATGAGAGCCAGGAGAGCCCGGCAGGCGTCCGTCAGCCTCTGGTAACTGCTGGAGAGGAACAGGATCTTGTGCTCGGTCAGCGCCGCGCAGAACAGGAACAGCACGTTGGTGATGCCTGGGCAGGGCACGGGAGGGCACTCAGAAACGGGGGGACCCCTCCTGCACCCCTCCAGAGACCCCTGACCCGCCCCCCAGGGCTAGAGACCACTCCCCATCCCCACGCCCTGCCCGAGAGAGGAGCTCAGCATCCCCCAAAGAGCCACTCCCGGGTCACCCAGGGAAGTCCCTCTTCCCAGAGATGCTGCCACTGCTCCCGGGCTGCCCCAGTCCTTTACTGGGAGGCACGAGGCCAACACCAGCTCTGGGCTCTCCTCCTGCACCCAGGCTGCTCCTCATGACCCCTGCCCCCCATCCCACCCTCCTGGAAAAGGGTCCGGGGAGGCTCTGGAGCCACAGGCCAGGTGGGAACGACCTGCAGGGCCTGTGGCCCCGAGGCCATGGCAGGGTGGGGAGGGGTCTCACCGAGCTGGCGGAACAGCAGGGCCACGCTGCAGCTGCTGACAGGGAGCGAGTCGTTGATGGGAGTCTGGATCACCTGCCTGTCCCCTGCTCCCAGGGAGATCGTCCTCTGCAAGGGAACACACACCCAGTCACCGGGATCACCCCGGCACGGCACGAGGACAAGGCAGGGGCAGCCAAACCCCCCCGGTGCAGGGGACAGGGCACCCCTGGCACAGCCCCCATCCCCAGCACGGCTGGAGCACGGCTGCTGCGGGAAGAGGGAAGAGAAAAGAGGGAAGAAGGAAGAGGAAAGAAGGAAGAGGATGTTGCCACTGAACCCCTTGGGTGCTTGACTGGGTCCACGGGCTGAGGGGAGGAAGGGCACCTGTTTTAATATTCCCAGCCAGCACCAGCGACATCCCGGCGGCCCCAAGATCCGCACGGAGATGTGGGACACAACGGCTCCCCAGGACTCCAGAGCTCCCCAGGCCACAGGAGCTCTCCAGGCCCTTGGACGCAAGGGGAGCAGCTCCCCTGTCTGTGCCCACCCAGCCCTGCTGTACCAGGGAGCAGCTCCAGCTCTGCAGTCTCTCTGGCAGCAGGAGCAGGCCCTGCTGCCTCCTGGTGAAGGGACAGACAGACGGGGCACAGGCTCATTGCTTCTTCCCCACCACCACTTATCATTCCCAGACTGAACCCATTCCCAGTTGGCACAGGGACGCTTACACATCCCAAGGCTCCCTCGAGGCTGCAGGGGCTGGGGCAGGAGCAGAGCTCTGGCCCTTCTCCTCCTTTTTCCACACCTCTCCAGGGAACGCGCTCCTGCAATAGCAGGTTTCGCCACCTCCCTGCAGCCACGAGAGCTCCCAGATCCCACCAGGAACAGCCCCAAAATCCAGTGCTGGACAGGGCCACGGCCGAGCAGAGCCAGACCCCTGACCTGCTCCTCCAGCCCAGCTTTCACAACCCCCAGAACACACAGAGAGGCAGAAGGGCCAGCCAGGAATGCAGCCCCTTCCCGGAGCCCAGGGACACGTCCCGGGACACACACGGACACAGACAGCCCAGGGTGCCCTGAGACCACCAGGACACGGGCCTGGGTGGGCCACACTCAGAGCAATTAACAGAGAGGCTGATAACGAGGGGACAGACCCCAGGGTGGGAAAGAAATGTGGGAAAGAAATGTGGGAAAGAAAAGAAGTTCGTACCGCTGCTTCGTCGTCCGCGTCAGGCTGAGGTGGGACAGACAGAGAGCACAGTCAGTTAGGACACACGGACAGTGGGACAACGGGACAAGGGGGACACGGACACGGGCAAGTCAGCCACGAGCAGGGACAACGCTCAGAGAGGAGCCCACATACACAGACACAGACATGGAGTGAAAGCCGTGGCTACGGCACTGGGAAAGAGCCTTGGACACAGCAGGAGAACAGGTAAAGCACGGGAAGGGAAGGGAAGGGAAGTGCCACCAAACTGTCCCCCCGTCACACAGGCCCTGTTCCCACAGCACAGAGCGGTCCTGCCCCAGCTGGGGGGATGGATCTGAGCCAAACCCAGTGAGCCACAGCGGCTGCAGAAGCCGCCCTGCTCCGGCCAGCCCTCCTCATCCCGCCGGGGAGGAACCGGATCCGGGCAGATCCCACGGGATTGGATTGCAAACCCAGGGTGCCTGGCACAGCCCCCGTGCCCTGGCAGTGGGCAGCACCCCGCTCTCCTCTCCGGAGAACTGGATAGGCCTGGCTCCATCCCTCTCCTGCAGACACCGGGAGCAGTGCCGGGCTCTCCCGGGATCTGCAGCGCTCGGGGTGCTCAGAGGGAGCCCCAAACCCACGGCAGCTCCAGGGGCTCCTGCCCAAAAACCTGCTCAGACACGGGGCCAGGAAGCAGAACCCCCTCAGGGTCACAGGCACAGGGGGAAGGAAACCCCTGTCTGGAGGCACTGGGGGTCTGTGGTGCTGCCCCAGTGCCCTGTGGTGTCATCCCAGTGCCCCGTGGTGCTGTCCCAGTGCCCTCTGCTGCTGCCCCAGTGCCCTCTGCTGCTGTCCCAGTGCCCTCTGCTGCTGTCCCAGTGCCCTCTGCTGCTGCCCCAGTGCCCTCTGCTGCTGCCCCAGTGCCCTCTGGTGCTGCCCCAGTGCCCTCTGGTGCTGTTCCAGCCTCGCCAAGACTCCCCCACTTGGATGTGGGATAATTAATGTCACTTTGTGCTGGAGGAAGAGGAGCTCAGCTGAAGGGGGAGACAAGCACACCTCCCTGGTGACATTTGAGGTGTCACCATGGCAGGAAAGCCCCAGGGCATCGCACTGCTGTCCCCAATCTCCTGCCAGGGGGTCCAGCTGGGCTCTCCCTCTGTGCCATCCCCAAGGCAGCTTCAGCTGACCCCCCCCGTCCCATCTGCTGAGCCCAGCTGGGCTGCCCAGAGCAGGAGGAGCTGCTGGAGGGACACTCAGCTCTGAGGGGGGCAGGGGGTGTGATGGCCTCGGCTCTGGGCACAGGCCCTGTCCAGCAGAGACGCCGGCCAGGCATGGGCACAGGACCAGGCACGGGCACAGGCACAGGACCAGGAACAGCCCAGTGCTCCGAGGAGAGCTCCAGGCTGCCCGTCTGGCATCGCTGGCCCTCCCTGGCCCGTGTCCCTGCAGCTGCCCCAGCCCTGCTCTCACAGATGGCCCGTGACCACTCGGCCCCCGAGCAGCTCTCCGGGCAAACGGAGCCAGGAGTGCAGGAGTGACCACGGCCCATGGAATGTGTTTGCACAGAGGGAGCAGCACCCACGTCAGCCGGTGGTCGAGCTCCCAGTCTCCTTCCCAAGGGAGCAGGAGCCACTGGCTGGGACAGGGAAGTGCAGCCCAGCCAAGCAGCAGGACCTGCTCAGCTGAGCGGCTCCACGTCACGGAATTTTGGTGTTTGTGCTCCGAAGCACTTGGGAAGGCAGCAGGGCACAGAGCCAGGCCCTGCCCACGGGTCCCACTCAGCTCACCCAGCACAGCAAACCCAGAGCCCAGCTGAGCAGGACCCCCGGCCTGGCTCTGACAGAGCTGCTGAGGGGGCAGAGCACGGAGAGGGAGAGGGAAGGGCATGGAGAGGGAAAGGGAAGGGCATGGAGAGGGAGAGGGAGGGGCAGGACACCCACCTGTGCTCCCCCCGTGATGGGGATGGTGCAGGTGAGGAGGTTCCCGATGACATTCTCCAAGGACACGCTCAGCCCGTCCACGTAGATGGTGTAGATCAACCCCAGGCTGTTCTGGAGGGGGGAGCAGGGCACGGATGAGCAGGGCTGGGAGCTGGGGAGACCCTCCAGCATGGAACCCCATCCCCTGGAGGGGCTCCCAGGGCTTGTCCCCGGCCAAACACACCCTGGGATTGCCAATCCCAGGTGCAGTGCTCCAGGTCTTCCTCCTCCTCATCCACAGGGATGGGATATTCGGCACAGGCTCTGTTTGCTTCCAGCCAGCAGCACATCCCCGTCCCCACACCGACCCCTTGGAGCAGCAGGGGCTTCCCACAGCTCCATGAGCAGAGTGGCTGGGAACACCCGGGCTCTCCAGGCCCCCAGCACTCCCAGTCCACAAATACTCCAAGGAAGGGATGGGAAGGAGACCCTTTCCCAGCAAGGGCTGGCCGAGGTTCCCAAAATCTGGGCAATGCCCCTGACAACACACTTTGACTCTAGTCAGCCCTGGGTGGTTGTTGCAGGTTCCTTCCACAGCTTCTCTGGGCAACCCGGGTCAGGGCCTCCCCACCTCACAGCCAGGAATTCCTTCCCAATATCCCATCTAACCCTGCCCTTTGGCAGTAGGAAGTGATTCCTCCTTGGCCTGTTCCTCCATCCCTTGTCCCCAGTCCCTCTCCAGCTCTCCTGGAGCCCCTTTAAGCCCTGCAAGGGGCAAAGGGGCTCTCAGCTCTCCCTGGAGCCTTCCCTTCTCCAGGTGACCCCCCCCAGCTCTCCCAGCCCCATCCCCATGGATACAGCCCAGCTCCCAGCCCGAGCCCTCCCAAACCCTTCCCAGGCACACAATGCAGCACCTTCACACAAACACAGCTGGCAGAGACCAACACTCTGCAGGAACAGGCTGTTCCTCCCTGAGTTCCATGAACCAGGTGGGTCCAGCTGGCACGGGGGGGCCCTGGCTCCGTGTCCCGCGGCCGTTCGGGGTCAGCACAACTGGGCCCGGCTCCGGATGCAAAGGGCAGGATGGGAACGGGCCTCGCTCCCACGGGTGCTGTGCCAGGCTGTCCCTGCAGCCCTCGCTCCCAGAGTCAGGAAGCCTTTCCCAGCATTGCTCCTCGAGCAGGATCCCGGCTCCCCCATCCCGGACTCACCCTGAACACCTCGGCGTGGTCCAGCCGGGACACCAGCACCAGGCTCTTGGGAGCGAAGAGCTGGGCAGGTTGGACGGGAGACGACGGCTCCTCCTCCCCCTCCTCGCCCTCTCCATTCCTGGGGTGGCTCTGGGGCTGGGGAGACACACACCGGCCAGGACATGGGGTTAAAGGGTGCTCTTCCCTCTCCCAAGATCCCAGTGCCAGGGTCTGGATTCCTCTGGCACAGGGAAGGCAGGAACCACTGCTTTTCTGCTGCTGACCCCCCTTCCCACCCAGCCACGGATTCCCCTGGCACAGGGAAGGCAGGAACCACTGGCCAGAGCTAAATGCAGCCCGATGCTTCCCCCAGCGCTGCTGACCACCCTTCCCACCCACCCCCAGCTTCCTGTGGCACAGGGAAGGCAGGAACCACTGGCCAGGGCCAACGGAAGCCCGATGCTTCTCTACCAGTGCTGCTGCCCACCACTCCCACCCATCCCCGGATTCCTGTGGCACAGGGAAGGCAGGAACCACTGGCCAGGGCCAATGGCAGCAGGATGCCTCCCCTCAGCACTGCTGCCCCCGTCCCAGTGCCCCCAGCACCTGCGGGCTCTCCACGGCCTCCCAGAAGGTGAAGCAGGCGCAGTAGTGCCGCTCCGAGTTGATGTCGGTCAGCACGGCCACGAAGAAGGTGGGGGGATTCCTCTCCGGGAAGAGCTGCCAGCCACTGGGCTGGCAGAACTGTGGGGAAGGAGGGCTGGGGTCAGAGGGGCTGCCAACCACTGCCCCTCAACCCCCGCACCCCCGGAGGGGGTGAGAGCAAACCCCGACCCCACCGGCCCTGGATCTCGGGAACAGGGAGCTCGGTGTGGCACCACATTGCAGGGAAGGGCAGCTCCATGATCTGGGAATGGGGAGAGCACCGGGCAGAGCCCCCCCTCCCCTCACCCACTGCACCTCAGGCACCCTCCCACGCCCTGGACCAGCTTCTGGGACTTCCCAAACTCCCTCCCAGGGGAAAACAGGGCCAGTGCCATCCCCTCCTCTCTGCAGGGACAGCTGGAGCTGCTTGGAGAAACCCAAGCGGGAAGAAAGGGTGGTGGGACACCCCGGCCAGGATGGGCACCCTGCCCACAACCACAGGGGCCCCAGCACAGGGGCTGGGAGGGGCTTGGCTGGGCCAGGGGCTGCTGGCACCTGGCATTGAGTCCCCCCTGCCTGCTGGGCCCTGCACAGCTCTGCAGCCCCCCTGGCACTGGCACCAAGCCCCCCAGCTCTGCACGGCCCCCCAGGCTCTGCACAGACCCCCAGGCCCACCAGGGCACCGAGCCCCCCAGGCTCTGCACAGCCCCCCTGGCTCTGCACAGACCCCCAGGCCCACCAGAGCACTGAGCCCCCCAGGCTCTGCACAACTCCAGCCCACCATGGTGCCAGGCAACCACATGCTGGCACCACAAGGTCAGGAAGGAAAGGTGATCCTGCACTGCCGGGGACACGCAGGACATGGGCACCAGGGTGGCTCCAGGAGGTGGCACTGCTCCCCTGGGCACACACTGCCCTTGGCTGTGCCACCACCTCCCAACCCCGCTGGACCTGCCACTGGGACTTCCCAAAGCCCCTCCCAGGGCCGGGGGTAATTCCAGCCAGCGGCCCCAGGACTCCCCCAGGTTTCCGAGTCTCAAGGGGTTTTTCCGCATTTCCTCAGCCCTGTGGAAAATTCCCGGCAGTGCTGGGAGCTCCCTGGGCGCGGGACAGCTCGGCTCCTTCCGGGGCCACGCCGAGGACAAGGGACTTGAGCAGATCCAAGGACAAGAACGAGGTGGCACCAGGGCCAGACCAACACATGAGGAGTCACTGCCCCAGCCCAAATCCTCAGGAATCCAAAACTCACCCACCTGGTGAGTTTTCCAGCTGTTCACCACTCCCTGTGCTCATGGTGCCCATGGAGCCTCCTCTCCTCCCCGGTAAGAGCTGGACACTGGGGCAGGAGCTTGGATCTCCCCAGACACCCGGGATGGGAGGGCAGGCAAAGGCACCCCAGAAACTGCTTCCCAGGCTCTGCCAGGGGTGTCCCTGTAAAGCTTCCCAGGCTCTGCCAGGGGTGTCCCTGTAAAGCTTCCCAGGCTCTGCCAGGGGTGTCCCTGTAAAGCTTCCCAGGCTCTGCCA